GAAAGAAAGAAAGAAAGAAAGAAAGAAAGAAAGAAAGAAAGAGGAAAAACAGAACTTGAAGCCTCACGCGCTCACACCGCTGCAGTCTCTTAGCCCAAAAATGAAAGGGGTTCAATCCCTGGTAGAAAGAAAGGAAAGAAAGACAGACAGACAGACAGACAGACAGACAGACAGACAGACAGACAGACAGACAGACAGACAGGAAGGAAGGGAAAAACAGAACTTGAAGCCTCCCGCGCTCACACCGCTGCAGTCTCTTAGCCCTGCAAGAAGGAGCGAGTCGCCTCCGCCGCCGTCACGCGGCGCTCAGCCAACTTGCGCATGCGCGCCTCTGGCGGCTCTCCGCCGGGGGCGGGACCGCGTGGCGTGCTGACGTCACAGGGGGCTGCGACGCCGCCGCGGCCCAGAGTGCTGAAGGCGGTGACGGCCGGTTTGTGACTCGGGCCGGGCCGGCTGAGCAGCCGCAGGATCTCGCTTCGCGTTTGCGGGCTCCGGGGCGGGGGCTCCCGCAGAGAAGCCCCCTCCCCGGGGTGGCGGGGTCTGGGAGGCTCCCGGTGGGGAGCGGCGGTGGCCGGGAAGGATGCATCAGAAGCTGCTGAAGAGCGCGCACTACATCGAGCTGGGCAGCTATCAGTACTGGCCGGTTCTGGTGCCCCGCGGCATCCGCCTGTACACCTACGAGCAGATCCCCGTGTCCCTCAAGGACAACCCGTACATCACCGACGGCTACCGGGCCTACCTGCCCTCCAGGCTCTGCATCAAAAGGTACTGTCGGGCCGCTCGGCCCCGCGCCCCTCTGCCTGGTCCCCCGCCGCGCCGCGCTCCGCCCCGGCCCTCCGTTCCTCGCCACCCGGTCTCTCCGTCTCCTCCCACCGACTCCCCTCCCGGGTGGTTGGTCCGCCTAATGATCGTGATAGTAACTGTGATTATAATTACCAGCTCTCCTTTGGGCAGCGATGTTTACAAAGTGCTTTTACATCCTTTATTCCTTTTGGTTCCTACTGAGATACATGCTGGAATCCACCCCCCTGACAGTGGTTGATCATTACTTGCCCTTTGCGCACCTAAGCTTTGTTTGTGTTTAGAGCAGCCCTGTGGGAATTCGGGTGCTTTGGCCTGCTGAATGAAACTGTTTACAGTGTCATACGTATATATGTGGAAAGCCCCAATTCATTCACTTACCTGATCCTTATGGAGCCTCTGTTGGGTACTAGGCATTCTACCACATCCTGCGGAAAAGAGCACACGTGTCCCCTGTTCTCATAAAGGTGCTATGGTTTAGCCTCGGCGACAAACACTGAAGAGATAATTACATATTACATAATAGCTGTTGTGGAAAATGCTGTGTAGGAAAATGCTGTAGCAAAAAGAGCTGTAACAGATACCCAGCCTCCGCTGGAAGATCTCTAAGAAAGGAATTTCTTTCTGTTCTAAATGTTTAAAACCAGATTGCTTTGAAAGCCTGTGTTTAAAAACATAGATCTGAAAAGTTGCATTCTACGTTTTAGAGTAACTTTCTGTCAAAACTCACTGTGTATACTAAAATACAGAACCCCAGTTCCAGAGAATTAAGACAGATGGTTGGCTCCAGGTCACTGTCTTTGCAAGTCCCCCTCCTAGATGTGGGTGTTGAACTACTCAGGCAGCATCCACATGCTTGCTGTTTGATTTTCTTTCCAGCATGGTGTTTCACCGTTCTTATGTACTTTTGTCCTGCCTTGTCAATCACAAGGCGACATTACTATCCATCCCTGCAGCTTGAATGGTCGGCCAACAGGACTTCACACCTGAATCCTAATTACAATTTCACTCTTCAGTGCCTCCTGTGCATGAGTAATATGTCAAGTTATTGGGCATAGGGCAAGCAGTGAATTGCCTTAATTGTGTTATATCCACTGTGCAGTGGACCTCTGCATTCTAAATCACATAGAGTGAGAAATGAACTATAAAGCAGTAGATCTTGAGTTATTGAGTCAAAAAGACTTGAATATTCAACTCTTCCACTTAACAGCTAGGGACCTTGTGGAAAAGTTAGCCCCTTTGGGTCTTCTTTTCTTCCCTTATAACTGTGAACATAATTACAGTATTGGTCAAAGGGATAGTATCAGAGGCGATTACTTACATAAAATACTACACAGGTCCTGGTACCTAATAAGTACTCAGTAAATGGTTGCACTTATCAGTGATTTTGAATCAGTGATGGTGATGAAAATGGTTATTGATTTTGAGGCAAAAGAGAGTATGGAGTGTCGGACTTTTAATAAAGTTAAATGCTATACTGGGGATGTTTTTCAAGAGCTTTTCCTGCCAGCTTTATCTTTACCACCTTCAGCCTTTGCCCTCTTTCCATTCAGCTTTCAAGAGTAATCAAGCCAGATTTTGGATACAAGGGAAGATTTTATGTATTCTAATAGTTGACCAATATTTTAATAGTTGGAACATAGGAAGGTTGTGTTCCATTAATCAGGTTGTACTGCATTTCACAGATGAAAAGTTCTAAGGCAGTAGACAGAATATTGTACTGTTATTAAAAAAAAAATCCTGTAGTTGTGTATTTAGAACATTTCTGCACCCTTTCCATTATGTTATTTTTAACTAGATGTTGTAAAAATAAACTTGATCATTTGATGATTTGAGACCTTGCTGTGTTTATCACTTACAAAAATTGGAAAGTAAGAACCACAGTGGCATCTGTCAATCCAGCTTAGAGTTACACATTAGTGCTTCCTGATAAGGGTTTCCGGATCAATGACCTTCAAAACCTTTAAGCAAAATGATTAGATTTTGCTAAACAAGTGTAAAAGTGTTTTAATTATTGGTCATGATACTGCCTTCCTGTAAATAGAATGGGCACTGTCCACAACTGAAAACATTTTCACAAAATTAAGAAAGTAGATAAAAGTTGTAGCAGTATCTGATCCAGCTACTTTATTGCCCAGCGAGTTCTATGACTTGCTCATGGTCACAGAGGTACTTTGTAGCCCGGATGGGAGAGACACTCACCTCTTGATGTCTGGTGGGCATATAGTATGCTCCTCCACGAACATGTGCTGCTTACCAGCACACGTAGTCCAGGCATTAAAAAAAAAAAAGAACCCATATTAAAAGTAGCCTCCTGTCATTCCTGAAGAAGATAATCTCATGCTATGTGGAAACTAGTTTGGCTTCAGGATGTCCACAGTGAAGTTGTCCAGCATGGTTGTCTTTTCAGTGGGTTCAATGGCTATCTGTTCCAATTCTGTTAAGTCCATTTAATTTTGTATTTGTTAGTATTTAAAATAATATTTAAAGTTTGTTCCTAACCTTGCACTGAGCAGCTTTTCAGAGACCTGCTATTAAAGTATTCTAGCTTAGGATCCAGTTTATAGCTATACTCTTTATTTCTGTTGGCATTTAGTAAATAATTTGAACAAGACACTTTGCTTAGAATAATGGTGTCCTAAAAATGGTCAAAGAGTTAATACGCAGAGGATGTGGTAGAATTTATATGTAAATAACTTAATAGAAGGAAGCAAATATATAATAAAATTGAGCACAGAACAAGTTCTGTGAGCCCAGGATTGGTGAAGACAAAATTTAAAAGGTACAGATAGAATTAGGTTCATAAAGTAGAAAGGATTAGGTAGCTCCCCTAAATTGACCCTAACCTTTGAATGCTAACAGTAAATGAGCCAATGTGAATCTGAGTTGCATATGTGTTTACTTTCCAGTTTGTTTATTTTATCTAATGAGACGGTAAACATCTGGAGTCATTTGCTGGGTTTCTTTCTCTTCTTCACCCTGGGAATATATGATATGACATCTGTATTACCTTCGGCAAGTGCATCCAGAGAAGATTTTGTGATTTGTTCTATATGTCTTTTCTGCTTCCAGGTGAGTCATTTCACAAACACCACTACTGGGAAAGAGAACTTTTGTGAGACAGGCAGGGACAGGTGACTTAAGTTCAGACCTACTGCTCCCGAGAGCCCCCCCCCCCAATGACATGTACGATATATTCACTTGTCTACTCCATATTAGCTTATTTGCTTTCATAACATAAGCACCTAAAAATGAACTGTTAACATATATTTGGATCATATTATTAGAATATACTTGAAGTGTAAGTTTCAAATATTTTTTAAGACTTTATTCCTCTATCTTCTCAGACATCTCTGCTTTGTGATTAACACTTGGCTAATAATGACTGTACTCTGTACTTTGGCTAAGTAAATCACTAGTGTCTACTTAAAACCTGTTTTGCAAGACTTCTTCCTAATTGTAATATGTCTGTGATTTTTGCACTTGCTATTTCCATATTTACCTTTTACATCTTGTTTTACTGACATTGATCTTTTGCTGTAAAGTTTGTATGTTTTGTTTTGTCTTTGCCTTACCAGGGATTGAACTTAGGACCTTGTGCTTGCCGGGCAGATGCTTATGTCACCTGTGCATCTCCCTGGCCTGCTCTCTTTTCAATGTTAATTTCCTTTCATGCTGTTATAGTTCCATGGTTTCAAATACTATATTTCTATTCCTTTCAAACTTTGTTTAGTTCCATTGACATTTGTATTTTTTTTCAGGGACCAGTAAAAAGTCCTGTTAACATCTTTAATTTTTAAGTATAAAGGTTATGCACAAAAATAACAGTGAAAATTTATTGTCGCCCCTTCCTCCTTGCATCCTGCTGTTAGCCTGCTTCTCTGCAGTGTGAGAGGTGAACCTGTAAACCAGCCACACACAGGTTGTTTTCATTGTGTCATGAAATTTCAGACCTCCGTTATTTTATTCAGATTAAAACTTTGGACTTAAAGTTTTAAAAAACACATCAAAAATATCTCCCTCTTTTTTTCTAGCTCCAACTACTGGAATACAATTTAAATTGACTGGATGAAAAGACTATATAATATTTTTGTTACTAGAAAAAAATTTTAGTGCTTTTTCACTTTTTTCTTTCTGAGGTTTACTTTTTGTGCTGATTAGAATCAAAACATCCTTAGAATTGCCTCCAGTTTTATAAAAAAAAAAAAAAAAAAAAAAACTGAATCAGTTGGTTTATAGCTACATTTCAAGATATATGTTAATGCAGATTAAGATATTCTTTTCCTTTTGTGTGTAGTGGGTATGTGTTTGTGGCTCTGGGGACTGGCCCCAGGGAAGTACTACCACTGAGAATTATATTCCTAGCTCACTTTTATTTGGAGACAGGTTTTGCCAAGTTGCCAGGCAGGATCTTGTGATCCCTTATCTTGAGATATTTTAAGTAATCATTAATACTAAGTAAAAACTGGTTTGTAGTCTACTGTCAGTTGTGTGGGTATCATCTATTTGGAGAATCCCGTGTATTTTCCTCTACTCTTAGGCCTGCCCTTTGCCTTTTACCACCTGCCACAGATGGTGTTAGTTTGGAGACTATATATATTAATTTCCTTTTTGGCCTAAGAATGTATTATAAAATTTAAAAGTTTAAATAATTATGATAATTGCAAATGAGGGAACAGGCCCAAAAGTTTAAATACTGTCCTGCATTATTCAGGTGGATGTTAAGGTCCTATTCTCTTGAAGAAGCCTTTTTTTTTTTTCTTTTTTTGGCAGTACCAGGGATTGAACTCAGGACCTTGCACTTGCCAGGCAGGCACTTGCACCACTGAGCTATATCCCAGGCCCCTGGTCCTATTCTCTTAACTGTTACTGTCAGGATCTTTCTGTTACATGCTGTACAGCATGCTCTGGGAAAATAAGCATATTTTCCTTACTTAAGAAGACCACTTTTCTTTTCTTAGGAAGTTATATCTTATTCACACAAGTTTTTCAGATTCTGAGGGAAGCAGATAGCCTGGTCTGTTCATTAATACTGGTTTGCATTTAACTTTTAAGAGACAAACATTATTTTCACCTACCCTTTAAGTGCTAATATTTTCTTCCCAACCAAATTAGTACAGTGCATTCTGAGTAGTAGAATATAATTTGGGGGCTTTGAATCTTTTCACAGGTTATTTACTTTGAAGAATAGAATCCTGAGAATGCCCTTCTCTCTGTTCAGTTCATATATATTTCAGTTCATTAATAGTTATTGAGGGGCTGGGGAGATAGCTCAGTAGGATAAGTGCTTGCCTGGTAAGCGCAAGGGCCTGAGTTCAATCCCCAGTTCCGCAAAAAAAAAAAAAAAAAAATAGTTATTGATTACCACCTACATATTTCCAAGCCCTAGACTATATTTCATTTCAGTAAATAGTTATTGATTACTACCTAATATTTCCAGGCCCTAGACTAGACAGCAATAATATAGTGCTGGACAGAGTCACTGTGTCGTGAAAATCAAATCATCCACGTAAGGGAGCAGAAGAGAGAGTGAGGCAGGACATTAGCAGAACAGACAGTTGTGTAAAGGCCCAGCAAAAAGAAAGAGTTTAGCATTTCTGGACCTACAGAAAATGTGGGAGAAAGGAGAAAGAAAGGTCAGGCTGGAGAGAGAGACTGTGGCCAAGGCAGGAAGTACTGTGTTACGCCATTGAGCTTAGATGCAGGATGCAATGTCGTAACTGTCTACCTTAGTGGAGTGACATATTCCATAGAAAGATATTTTCCATTATATCTGAAATATACTCAATTTGCAAGACTTTATAATTTTCATCTTTTAAGGAACTCTAGCAGTAACATACCTTTTTCTAAATATGGTACACTGTAAGTTAACTTTTTAAAGACATAGAATTGTCTGTTAACATTATTTCTTTCTGATAGCTTTTTCTCATTTACTTTCTTTTTCATAATAATATGAACTTATTATTGTTTCTTATTATTACTATATTGATATTCCTATAGATATCCAAACAAACATAAAAGTTTATGGAAGAAAGTAAAAGTCACTTGCTATTTCATGCTTGGATCTTGCATCATTTTACAGTCATATGACATTGTGACAATATGACAATGAGATCCTTCCCTGTCAGAATGTGCACCATATGCTCTCATATTCATGGCACTTCACCTCAAGGATAATCCAAGATAACAGTCAAGCTACTTAGAATTAATGGGGCCTATAAATTCTGATTTTTTAGCTTAGCCAAAAAGCCACTGACCAATAAGGATTTGAGGTAGATGAAGAAATAAAATATGACTAAGTACATTGGCATTGAATATTGATGTTGAGTGTGTGGGAACTGGTTAGGCTTGTTTAATGGATAGAATGTAAAATAGCGAGATTTCCAGTTAGCTCTTGCTTACAAAATATTAATCAGCTGGGTCTGCTTCATATTGTTTATGGCCCCATTTTTCCCCTCCACTGTCACTGGCTTAGTGTAGCTCTTGGCCTCGCTCCATAGTGCTATTTCTGTACACTTTGACCTCGGCCTGTCAAGTCCACATCTTGGAAGGGTGGCTTCTCATTTACTTGTTTCTCAAAAACCTCTTTGAGAGTAGAGATTTCATCATTGTGTCCTCCAGTGGCTGACAAACAGCAGGTGCTTGATGGCTGGAGGAATCTGCCATAGAAGCCTTTTCAGTGGTCACAGCACCTGATGGGGTCATGTTAGTTTGCTGTTCAGTATGGAAACCATATAAAATCAGTCATTATTTTTGCATAGAAAAAATAAAGCCATGTTTACTTTAGAATTTAAAAGAAAACTACAGTGTATCTCATGTGGACTGAAAAAGTCTTAGGTGAAAAAAGCAAATTTGGCAACAGAATGTATAGTATGAGACCATTTGATTAATTTTAAAAACTGTGTATCCTACCTTCTGTATTACAGGTATGGACAGTGAAAATACCTGGAAGAACACAGTAGTTCTTAGCATTGTATACCTCAGCAATAGATTAAATGGGAGGGACGTGATTCCTGTCTGAATTGCTTTGATTTCTTTTTGTTTCACCTTAAGATTTATTTTTATTTTCCATAGGTCTGTATGCTTTGCTCAGTGGGCTATCATCTTTTTTCTTGCCATCGGTCAGAAAAAACCTGTCGAAGATGGATGGCATTAGATTATGCGGGAATTTCTGTTGGAATATTGGGCTGCTATGTCTCAGGAGTATTTTATGCATTTTATTGTAATAATGTAAGTAGTTTAAAGCATTTTCACTTCATTCACATTCATTCTCTCCCCTCCCTCCATCCCCCCTTCTCTCTCTGCCATAGTGGGGAATAGAGCATCTCCCATTCTAGACAAGTGTTCTACCACTGAGCTATTTTCCCATCCCCAAATAGTTCTCATTCTACCTATCGCATAGGTCTTGGTTTTTTGTTGTTGTTGTTGTTTTGGGGTTTTTGCAGTGTTTCCTTTGAATTTCTGAATAAATGCATAATTAGCTAACAGGAGAAACAGGAGAGTCATATATATGCATAAATTTATTTTTTTTTTCAAATGGCCCTTGTGATCTCTAACATCTGTTATTCTATACTTAACTAATTTTTCATTTAAAAATACAGTTGTTTTGTTTTGGGGAGGGTTTTTGTTTTTTGTTTTTTGTTTTTTTGAGACAAGGTCTCAGTATGCAGTTGAGGCTGGCCTGGACTCACTATGTAGCACAAGCTGGCCTCAAACTTTTCCTACCTCAGCCTCCTGAGTGGTGGGATTGCAGGTATGCACCACCATACCCAGCTAACTCTGGAAGGTGTAGTTATTTCTCAATGTAGACGTTGAATCATTAGTGTTTCCACTAACTCCATGTGGCTATGTGGTCCTCATATATGCACATTACATGTCTTAATTTTTCTGTGTATAGAATTGACGTTAAAGTTAGCAGTTGATATACTTGTGAAGTTGGCTACTGCTTTCAACTTCTCAACATTTACTTCTCTCTCAGTTAAAAAAAGTGCCTGTGCATGTATTGATCCACATTCTTCTGTAAGAACTATGTTCTCCTCAGGAGGCTGAGGCAGGAGGAACACTGAGTTTGAGCTCAGCCTGGGTACAAAGTGAGTAGCCCACTATATAACCTAAACTGTATCATGAAACCCTGTCTCAAAAATACCAAAAAAAAAAAAAAAAAAAAAAAAAAGATCGTCTCTTTTCCTTAGTCTTTTATTTGTTATAAGGCATAGAGACAGACCAGACAGGTGTTGAGTATCTTAGCAAGGGTATCTGTTCTGAGTTCTAGATTAGCTCTTTTTTTTTTTTTATTTTCCGCTAAGGTGTTTGCTTTATGCAAAGCAGCATTTGTAACACTAATTAGATAATGTGACATGTGACCTAAAAATGTTGGCCAATGAAACCTTATGAAATTAAAATAAAATCCCTAACCCCTCACCTTATGTTCTAGCCAAAAGGCAAACTAATCTTCCCTCCCTGGGACTCAGTACATCTTAAGCTCTCCTGTTCAGCAAAACCGTATTATCTTTTTCCTCCTGCTTCCTTACCATATTCTTTGATTTTTTTTTTCTTTTGTGCTTTTCATTATTTCCTTTTACCAAGAATGTATTTTGCCCTCAGAAGCAGGTATCCTTTTTCTTTTTTTTGCAGAACCGGGAATTGAGGTCAGGCCCTTGCACTTGCCAGGGAAGCGCTTATTTTATTGAGCCATCTCCCCGGCCCCTTATCTTCCTTTTCACAAAGAATAGTACCTGTGGTGCCCAGGTTTCCCTCACCTATATGGAAGATACTCACTAAGCCACAGCTTCTTGGGAAGATTGGCTACAGCACAAGATTCTTCTATTTGGAATTCTTCAGTAGGACCCTGTCTCTATGCAGTGACACAGAAAACTGCCAGTGTATGCACAACTGGCAAAGAGAAAACTCAAATTAGATTTGAATATATGAGCATTATTTATTACATCCATTTAAACATGAATCACTTGCTCTTTAGGCTTAATTGTTTTTGAACAGAAGAATATAATTAAATACATATGTGATTAACTTTTTTATAAATTGATTTTAGTAAACTCTTCCAATCTGCCAAGCTTTTATAGCTTATTCATTTTGCAAGAAACTGTACGTCTTTTTAAAAATTATAGGGCCGGGAATGAGCACCGCAGCATAGCACCTGCCAGGCGAACCCAAGGCCTTGAGTTGGATTCCTGACACCCACCCCAAAAAACTTCTGGCAACCTGCTGATAACTCTAGTTAGCTTGTAAGGCAGGCAGTCAGTATTTGAACTGCTTGGTTATCCTAGACTATAGTCTCTGAAACTATTTTCTATTTACCTCTTTCTAAACACAAAGTAGGACACTTACCAGAAAAACTAGGGAAAAAGAAGAGAACTACTGGGGCCAAAACAAACAGTCCATGATCATAAAAAGAAAAATTGGTTCTCTGGTTTCTGATCATTCCCATATATTCTGTTGCTTCAGTGGCCTCTTTCCCTTGCAAAGTGGGACTAAAAGCCATGTGCCCTTGATTGAGGAGGGAGTACCTTTAGGTATACACCAAGCCAGCCAGCTCAGGGAGGGAGTAGTTCCACAGAAGTTCTTGGAGCCTGGAGTTTACCAACACTTGCCTGTGTGATCCTGGCTTTTAAGCTTGCAGGCCAGCTTTATAGCTGCTACCCAAATTCCCATAGGCCCTTCAGAGTTCATGGGTAATTTTGGTTTGTTTGTTCCTCTTCCTCTTCTTCTTCCTCCTCTTCCTTCTTCTTCCTCTTCCTCCCTTTCCCCTTTTCCTCCTTCCCCTCCTCCTCCTCCTCCTTTTTCTTTATTCTTCTGCTTTTCCTCCTCCTCCTGCTTCTTTTCTTTTCTTTTTTTTTTTTAATTTTGTGAGACAGGGTCTCACTGTGCAGTTCAGGCTAGAAACTCACTATGTAGCCTAGGCTAGTGTTGAACTCACAGTGATCCTCCTGCCTTAGTCTCCCAGGTGCTGAGATTATCATGGCCAGTTTTTCAAAGTTAATGTTTTAAAGTAAATAGTCCATCATGTTCCTTGGCCTCTTCCCCCACCAGAAACGCTCCTTCCCCCAAAATCCTGGTCATTTTCGTTCACTTGCAGAAACTGATTACATGGTCTCTGAGACTAAAAAGTTGAACCTTGCTCACAACCAGACAGCCATGGAAACAGCCTCTGCATCTAATGCTCATGTCTGTACTCTTCAACAGAACCCAAGCCCTTATTTTCTCTTGGAATTAACCATTCTATTGTTTTCAAGCTGGCTTCCTAATGTCTTCTCTGCTGATGACTGCTATCTTTCTAAAGTCGGTTGGAAAAATGGCTGCATCACCCCGTTTTTAAAGCTCCCTTCATTCCTCAGAGCTGACATCTTTAGTGTGATCTCACCTGCCATTCACCCTCACTTCTCTGCACTTCCCTGTGGCATTTGCTCATTCCCTCAAAATCTCCTTCCCACACAGTCAGACAGTTTGCCCAAGACCTAGCTGAGATGTTAGCTCCTCTGTGCAGCAGGCAGTTCTCCTTTTCACTGGTTCCACGGCACTCTGTTTATAGCTCCACTACAGCGCTGCATGTCATGACCTTGTGACCGTGTGCTTGTGTCTGCCTCTCCGTAGTCTCTGTGCTCACCGTCTGAGTGAGTTCTCTTTGTGTCTGTGGGCCTGAAACTGTGCCTCAGACCAGAAGTACTCAGGAGGTGCTTTTGTGGGAATAAGTGTAGTCTACCAGCACACTTTGGAAGCTTGTTTTTTATCCTAAGAAGCTTCTTTATTAAATAACATATTTTTAAGGAAGGTAAATAATCCTGTTCAGAAGTAGTTTTGAATGTGTAATGTAGAAATCAAAATTTCTCTTTTCTTTCCCTTGTCACTAAGAGCAGAATTAAAATTTGGTTTCCTTTCCTTTTAGTATTGGCGGCAAGTGTACCTGATCACAGTGCTTGCTATGATCCTCGCAGTGTTCTTTGCACAGATTCATCCCAATTACCTCACACAGCAGTGGCAGAGGCTCCGTTCCATCATCTTTTGTTCTGTTTCGGGCTATGGAGTGATCCCCACTCTTCACTGGGTTTGGCTCAATGGAGGAGTTGGTTCTCCTATTGTACAGGTAAGGAGGTGTATTTACTTCAGAGAGAGTGGTATGGCCAGGCCAAATGGATAGGCCTGTGTCCTTTGAGGACATAATTTTTCACAGTATATTAACACCATAATTCTCACAGCTATATAATAAGTAAACATAACTTTTAAAAGTAGAGGTAAAGTCTCACTATTGTTTCTTTATGAATGTCTTTCTGTGAAATAACACATTAACTCTCTAATGATTTAGTATGTAAATAACTTAAATCTTTATCTGTGAACGAGAACTTCAAAATTTCTAGCTTTGTCTCCTGGGTTAGTGAAAATAACGATGGTAACCAAAACACAGAATTAGGCATGGTGGAAGGGGAGCGTGGACATAGCTTAGTGGTCTAAACACCTAAGTGAAAGGACCTGGGTTTGATCCCCAGTACCACATGCTGTGCCAGCCCTAGAACCCTGTGCACACCATGTAGACCACTGAGACTGGTCGTGGTGGCACACAACTGTAATCCCAGCACTGGGGAGGCTGAGACTGGAGGGTCATTACAAGTAGAATTCAAGCTGCATAGTGATACCCTGGAACAAATACATTTTTAAAAAAGAAGAAAAATTAGGCATAGGGGTTTGAAAAGAATTTTTTATTTTACCTATTGAGTTTGAAATATATATCATATAAGATGTAAAAGTAGACATGGGTTTGGAATTTCGGCAACAATTTGAGACTTGTGATAAAGATTTGGAAGTATTATCCTGGAAGCTGTGGCCAGGGCAGTAACTGAGGACTATGGCAAGAGCTGTCAAAGTCAAGCATTACGGTGAACAGTGGATGCACGTTTGGAAGAGTGTCAGGGAACCCAGTATTCTTAGAAAGGACTAAGAATGTATTTTTAGAGATCCTTATAAAAATGTGCTAGAGAGTAAATTGAAAATTTTTTAACATAAGTAAATTTGCTAAGGAAGCTGGCAGAAATCAGCTGAATTTGTTGCAATGAACAGAAATCACTTAAAATTATTACTTACTGCCCTGGGACCTTTGTCTGAAATGGAGAATTTTAAAGGTAAACTTTATTCCAAAAGACTCAGGTATGGACTGGGGCGATAGCTCATCGGTGTGGCCATCTGCCTGGCAAGCTCAAGGAACCTGGGTTCGCATCTGGTACTGCATGCCCCGTGCCTACCCCAGAACCCCAGATGTGTTGTGCTGGCCACTGAAACCAGGTGTGGTGGTGCACATCTGTAATCCCCAGCACTGGAGAGGCTGAGACAGGAGGCTTGCTATGAGTCTGAGCTGCATAGTGAGACCCTGTACCAAATAAATTTAAAAAAGAAAAAGCCTCAGGTATTAGTTAGAAGAGGTGAGAGTACTGTAGTGTTACATTCACGTGCAGCAGCCAGATGAAAACTTGTGTGTGCTGTTGAGAACAAAAGCCATTCTGGGCAGTGGGCTGGCTGATCGGATCTGGCTCATTTGAGAACAGATGATGTTCTCTTCATAAGATCAGGAACTTTAGAGAAGGGGAGATGTGGTAATGAAGGAGATAAGTGATTCTGCTATCTGAGAAAACATCCGTTTTGGGACTTTTGATTCCCTGAGTATCAGAAAATAGAATGATAACGTGAAACCGTAAATTTAATTCTGATCAGAAATGAATAACTGGTGATTGATATAGGAGTTATTTGTATTGACAAAAAAGATTTGGTTCAAGTCAGTGGATTTTGGAGACATTTATGGGGAAAAAAAGAAAAGGGTATTTCCATGATCAGAAATCTTAAAATAGAAATATGGCGTAAAAAGACAGGGGTTCTTGAAGATGGAATTCTGATATGAGCACTGATCATTCCAGTGAGGAAAGAAAGGGAAACTTCAGAGAAATTGTCTAATTTACGATTTTTGAAACAGAAGGAGAGGTTATTATCAAAGGTGGAAAGTTTTCCGGAGCTAATCCAGAGAGGTGAGTGAAGTTATATTTTAGACTAGTGATAGGCTTTTTAGAAATGAGTGCCTAGACTGCAACACAAAGCCCATTTATTTATCACCAGTTGCGAACATTGCAATTAAAACTAAATACCGAGGGTTTAATTTACAAAACATAACTCATACATTAACATCTTTTTGTGTTTAAATACAACACATGTGCTACAGTATCACCACTGCTGTTCTAAAATGTTTAAGAAATATGAAGTCGATTAACCTGAGGAATATAGAGTTCAAGGAGAGCTATGAAAATTCTCGTGTTATTTGAAGAAGAAAGAAAATTAATTTTATTTATTTGTTTATTCTTTTTTTATTGCCTTAGTACTGGTAATCAAACTCATGACCTCGTGCCTGCTAGGCAGGTGCTGTGCTGCTGAGCTATATCCCCAGCCTTGTTTTTATTTCTTAAACAAGTTCTTAGTAAATTAGATCTAAAACCAGAATTAGAAACAGTCCATTTAGATTTAATTGCCTGATTTTTCTCCGGACCCAGTAAAAGTTTCCAACAGAGCATCAGCAATGAGATGCAGAGCTAAATATAGTAGTGCTTAAAAAGATCATTTATCTGTAGTACTGGAAAAAAATTCTACTTTGGGCAGAAATATGTAGATGTGCCTAAGCCATAAGTCCTTGGTATTTAATCTCTTATCTTGCCTAAGTGATAACTGTTCCCAGATGTATTCTGTCATGTTCTGACACTGGAGAAGTTGCTGTAGGACCTTCCATAGTGCTGTAACTTTAGCTCCATTAGTAGCCTAACCTTAAGGGCATCTACTGTGTTCCATTTTTAAGAAATGAAGCAAAGCTTGGGATACTGAAGTCTGTCCATAAAATAGTTAAGATTTAGCTATTTTTATCTACACCATTATACTGATAATTGAGAATTCAGCAACAGTAGAAAAAATATATGTGTATAATATGTTTCGCTTTTTAGGACTTTGCATCCCGTGTAATTGTGATGTATGTGATTGCTCTTCTTGCTTTCCTATTCTACATTTCCAAAGTTCCAGAACGGTACTTTCCAGGTGGGTATCTATTTATTTATTTATTTTTTGTGGACAGCTCAGCCAGCACTGGGGGTGGGGCTGGCACAGCATGTGGTGCCAGGGATTGAACCATGGTCCCTGCACTTGCCTAAGCTTGCCTAAGCAGGCGCTTTAAACCACTGAGCTATGTCGCCAGCCCTGTGGTGGGTATCTCTTACAATGTTTTGGTAATTTTATTCCAAAATGTGTGCTTGAAGTAGATGCTTCAAAGAATCAAAATTTAGATTTGTTTTTAAAATATATTTGATTATAGAATAATTCTTCTAGTCCCAAGTATTAACTAAAACTTCAGCTATTTTTTATTTTACTTTATTTTTAATCTTTATTTATTTGGCACAGGGTCTTGCTACATAGCTCAGACTCATAGTGATCCTTCTGTCTCAGCCTCCCCAGGGCTGGGATTACAGATTTGCACCACCATACCTGGTTTCAGTGCTTGGCTCTGTGCATGGCCAGCATAGCATGTGGTAAGGGGGAATCAAACCTGGATCCTTGTGCTTGCCAGTCAGGTACTTAGACTGCTGAGCTATCTCCCAGCCATAACCTTCAGCTTTTAAAGGGCTTTCACAAACTTTTCCTGTCATCCTGTTAGTAAGTTCAGTGGAAGAAAAATAGTATCAAAATACAGTAGTTCTCCTCCCCCCAGCCCCAGTAATGGCTTACATTTAGACATTCCGCTAGAGTCTCATGCAGAATTTGGTACTAGAGAAGTAGGGTCATTGGTGTCCCTTGTACTGGACCATGTGGTTTAGGAGCCTTTGAAGCTGGCTTGTGGGAAAGGGAAAAGTTAAGAAAAGTTTGGAGGAGCTGGGGAGATAGCTCAGTGGTCTAAGCACCTGCCTGGGAAGCACAAGGACCCAGGTTCAGTCCTGAGTACTGCATGTTGTGCCGTGTGCTGGTCCAGGAATCCTAGACATGCCGTGCCAGCCACCAAAACCAGGCATAGTGGCTCATGCCTGTAATCTCAGCACTGGGGAGGCTGAGACAGGAGGATCACTATAAGTCTGAGCTGTGTAGTGAGACCCTGTACCAAATAAAATAAATAAATATTTTTTGAAAACTTAAGAAAAATTTGGAGATGCCAGCTGAAAAAGATCTAGAACACCTCAGACGGTGTTCATAGGAGATTCTGGTCAGAGTTTAAAAGACTAGAATGCTGATAGAAATGCTTCTAGTAAAGACCAGACTCAGGAGATTTCTTCTAGTAAGAAGGACTGTGTTAGCTGTTAGATTCCAGACAATGAGTGTTATGCCATGGCAGAAAGTTGGTCTTCATTTTGCTCATGTCCAGAGACTTTGCCTAAGACTAAGATTAAGGTTAGTGGACTAATCATTGCAGAAAAATTTCAAGGCAATCTAATGTTGAAGTGATGGCATGGCTACTGTTGGGTGCTTTTCGCCAGATGTATGTTGAGAATCAAAAGCAAAGAACACAGAAGAATAATTTAAAATATTATGAGTTTGGCCAAAAGGAAGCTCCAGTAAAACTATGTACTACAAAGTTAGAGCTGAAGAGATCTTGATTGCTGAGAAGGAAGATGACAATAGAAAAGACAGCCTGAGGGTGTCACATGAAGCAATAAAATTCTGCCCTTTGCAACCTCAAAATTTCAAAAGTGAAAGGCTTTGCTTTGAGAAGAGAGCCCCAGAGCACTATGTTCCAGAATGGCAGCAGCCTAAGGAAGTAATTCCTATGGATTGGGTTCAGAGTACTCAGTGATCCCAGCCCACAACCCCTATAGCCGAAAGAGAAAGTAGCCTGGCTACTACTCCAGCTGGCTGCCAACTTTGGTATCAGCCACATGATGCTGGTTTTAGGTGCGTGCAGAATATAGTTGTGGGGTTAGGAAGACTTCCACCCAGATTTCAGGCAATGGCCTAGGAGGCCAACTGGTGTGCCCAAAGGGCAGCATGTGAAACTGTGAAGCAAGTGGTTCATGAAGACCCCAAAAGATTGGAGAAGCCAAGAAGTGGATTGTTCAGGGAAAGCTGCAAGGAGTGAGCAGAGCCAGCCACAGAAGCTGAGAGAACCACTGGCAGATGCTAAGTGTCGGTGCAGAGCTGCCCACGCCTTTTGGAATTCACAGCTTACCACAGATCTCCAGGTGATGCTGGACATGGAAATACGGAATTTAATGTTTTCCCTACTGGATTTTGTTCTTGCTTTGTTTGCATTCCTTGCTGTTCCTTCATTCATAACCTTTGGAATGGAAATGTCTTATCTTCTGCCATTGAATGTGAAAAGTGTTTAACTTCCTTTTCATTTGTATGGGGGCTTGCAGCTAAGAGTTTGCATTAAATCTCAGAAGAGACTTTGGACTTGGACTTTTCAGCAGTGCTACAACTCTTAGGTCTTTAGCAACTCCTCAGGCTGGTTTAAATGCCTTTTACATAAAAAGATGTGCATGAGTTTTTGGAGAGCCAGGGACAGAACATTATGGATTGTGCTAGATGTGCCCCTAAAGTCACATGCAGTCATAACTGGGATTTTTCTGAGGTGAATGGATCTAGTGTGTGATGCTGAAATTGATTCAGGGTACAAAGTTAAGATCAAGGGCACTAGGATTAAGGGTGAGTGTTGCTCACCCTAAGTGGTCTGGATAGGAAGAGCCATCATCAGCCCTTGTTGCTTTTCTACCTCTGCCCAGCACAAACTGATTCCCTCTGTAATGCCTGCCTGCCAAGTCACCCTACCTTGGAACCAGCCTCTTACATAGATTGAAACCTTCACAAACCAAGCTCAATAAAGCTTTCCTCCTTTTAAGTTTGGGTGTCAGGTATTTAGTCACAGCAGAGAGAAGAGCAACTAAGAAACCCCCTTTCCGTGTAATTTCACTTTTCCTTCCTGACACTAAAGCCAAGAAAAAAAAAATTGTTCAGTCTTCAGGTTCCCAAGATTCTCTTTCCTTCCATTCACATGTTAGTCACTCAGGAGGATAGATTTCTCTTTCCTTCCATACAGAGGAAAATAATTGTGATGGAAATAAAGAAGCACAGTGTAGAGTGAACAACATTCTTTCTATAAAACATATACTTGCTTTTTTTCACATAATAGGTCCAGAACCAGTCTATTTAGGTTCAGCACTAAGCTGCATGAGCTAAATAAGTCACTGAAACTCTCAGCTCCAGCTACTGCGTCTTAGTCAGTTTCATCATCGCTGGGACAAAACACCTGGTTGCTGGCAACTTAAAGGAGGAGAGGTTTGTTTTGGCTCATGTTTACAGTTGTCAGTCCTTGCGTGGTCAAGCTGGTTCTGGGCAGACGCAGTGTGAGCAGGCCTGGGAAGAGGAAGGCTGCTTACCTCTTGGCATACAGAGAGAGAGCAAAGCAAGGCACTGAAGTAGGCCGCAGCCCTTGTAGGCTACACCCCCATTCGTCCACCTCCTCCAGTCAGACCCTACCTGCAAAGAGCAAGTCACCTATATGCCGCCATGACCCGGTCACATTTCAGAAGCCCCACTTTCAAACACACAAAACTTTATGGGGACATCTAAGTATAAATTGTAACATTCCTCATCTGAAACTTGGAGGTGATACCTTCTTTCCTGGAGGTATAGTGAAGATTAGATGGAAAGTGAGCATAAAACAGTACAAGTTCCTAGCAGGTACAGTAGTAGTACAATAGTAGCAGTTACTATTATTTTGATGTCCTTCAATTTGGTCTTGTAGGTGTAAAATGTAGCTTAGTAACAGAATGGTACAGATCCAGGAAAGCTTTATTTTTGACTCAAGAATATCATTGGGTACATAAAAAGTGACTTTTCAGCTTGTAGGACTTAAAGGGAGCAGTTTAAATACAAACTGCAAACTTGTCCCTCCTGTTTCCTGGGTTATGAATCACTTGTGATGGGAATTAGATATGGGATTGTGCCACTCCTTGCATGCAGGGAAAGGAGAATGGGTCCTCAGGCATTCCTCTGTGCGTAGGTTTTCACTACTGAGCTTTAAGAGTGGGAATACAGACCGTGAGTGTGAAGAGTAGAATTCAGGAACATAACTAGGCCATGTCCTTATACTGAAGAGTACTCATTGTCTAGGCAGAACTATAGTTTTCCTCAGAATGTGGTTCTGGGAAAAATACATTTTTGTATTACTTTATAAGCAATTCTTTTAAAATTTCAGATTCATCCCAGACAAGTGGAAAATTGATCCTGAAAATACACTATGTCATTATGACTATAGTGTTTTTAGGCCTTAAAATGTTCAAATGAAAGGCTAAACATTGTTTTATCATAAGACACCTATGAAAGTTCAAATGTTGAAGTGTGCTCCACGTACCTGTGGGGCTGAGTGCAGGTACCTGAGAACTGTTAAGATGTAAAGACCATAAAACATGAAGTCTTTCTAGTTGAAAATGATAGTCTCCCATGTTCCGGGGGAAGCGTCTTCTCCCATGAGTGAGAGAAGCGTGAGCCATGCAGACAGTGGGTACTGCGAAAGTAAAAAACTTAAGTCTAAGAACATAAATCCAGCTCAAGTAAAGGTTTTTAAAATACGTAGTTACCACAGTGCTGTTTGATGAGCCCAAGGATCTCTGAGTGGATCTTATACTTGTATTACAAGACAATCCATTTTCTTTCTAGTCTTCTTACATTGCTTCTAAAAATGGGTCCGTAGTTTTCACTAGACTCAAAAGAGACCATCCCCGCCCGCAAAAAAAAGGCTAAGAATCCATAAGGATTTAACTTACTTTAAAACCTGTGTTCTATACTAAGTATTATTTTTGGTATGAAAATAGAAGCACCAAGAGTAAGAAAAAGAGAAAAAGTTTACACTTATGTTGTAGTTTTGTATTTTGTTATTTACCAAGAAAAATCAGGATGCTTCCAATATGTTAATTGTCTGATCTCCTTGAAATTTAACATACAGCTAGAAAGAGAAATTAAATTGTTCTCTGAAATTGTATGTCAACTAATCACCCTTAGCCCACTACTAAGTACTGGACTTTGCCGTTTATGCCATTAGTCAGAAGGTGTAAGATTCAGGTGTGAGCTTTTTCTCCTTGGGCATCAGCATAAAATGAAAGTGCTCCTGACAGAGTCCCACAGCGCATCTGCTCCCAGTTCGGACCAAGTCACACTCTGATTTTTAGTACTAGTTTTTTTCACCTCTGTCATGTAATAATGTTTTCCATGGAAGGCACAAGGCGAAATTCCCAAAATAAAGCCAGTCAGATTTTAAACACGTACTGGTGCATTCCTGAAATACACCTATGTACTTGTGAATAAAACCTTAAAATTTGACAAATGAGTTCATCCTTTGTAAACATCTGGATCTAGGTTTCTAGCGAGTCTTTAGGAACTAAAACTCCCACAGTTTAGGGGCATTTTGTTTTTGTTTTGGGGTTTGTTTTTCTACTAAACCACATTCCCAAGGCCAGAAGTGGAAATGTTTCTTTTAATAGCCAAATACAGCAGTCAGTATTAATTTCTTTCTGCTTTCCCTTACAGGACAACTAAACTACCTCGGATCAAGCCACCAAATATGGCACATCCTTGCAGTAGTGATGTTATATTGGTGGCATCAGTCAACAGTGTATGTCATGCAGTACAGACACAGCAAACCTTGTCCTGACTATGTTTCGCATTTGTGAATTCAGGTATGGCCACCTGATGAATTCAGTTGGGAAGCAATACATATGGGGAGTTCTACACCCCACTGTTTCTAAGATTTCCATTAGTTTTTGCTTTTTCTGTGTACTGTATCATGAATATTGCTTTATAAAAATGAAAAAATATACTTGGTTGTCTTCAGTAGTAACTGCTTTACAGACCCTGAAAACTACTAATCTGCTGCTTGTACAGAAAATAGAGATGAGTTGGCAGCCATGAGAGTATCTGAATAGCAACAATGAATGTGAGATTAGCATAGTAACAGGATTCATTTTACTTAACACCAGCTTAATTTTCTTAGGAAGGGCTCATCTCCACTGGAAATGGAGTCATCGTGTCTGATTACTTTAATAGGAGATATTTTCATTACTCAAATGTAAGTGCCTAATCAAGGTGAACGTTGTTACAGCGTATGCTTAATCCAAGCTAAGATCGTGATTTTGAATAATCACAGCCTTTACACATTTTGTGAGAAACTGGCACGTAAGATATTATTTGCTTTAGCTATAGTTTCTGCTCTCCTGAGAAATACTGGATTTTTTAGCTTACCAGAAGAAAAACTTTAAACTTCTCTTTTGAGAGAGGTGTTGAGAAAAGGAGAAAAATTACTCATTATTTGTCTGATAGTAGTTATATTAAAAGAGGAACATAAGTGACAGATTCTGTGGTCTAATAAATCATTAGCCACTTAAGCCTTTTAGTTCTAAGTATTACTTGATTCCATGTAATAACTGAGTTGAGAGTGGATTACAGAAGATTTTGATGTTGAATTCCAGAAGAATTTTTACCTTTCTAAATCTGTAGTTCTGTATTTTGTGATGATGAGGATTTCCAGCAATCTGGGTGCTTCTCTTAAGGCCATAGGGGATGGCCCTGTCTTGGCCCTGAAGTAAACCTTAAGCCTTAGGACAAATTCATGCAGATGCCCCATTTGATGAGATTATTCATCGATACTGTAGTTTTCTGTTTATGAATGCATTAGCATTACATTGATAACTTGTGAGTATTCATAAACACTATCTAAAATTTGAAAAAGAATTAAACTTGCCCTTTATTGTTTATACTTCAAAAATACATGTTACTGCCCTATCATACAGAGTAAACTATTCTATGGTTTTTCATATATGTAAATTAAATCCCAGAAAGCAGATTCATAAACTTTGATGTTATTTATTGGAATATACCAAAGTTTCTTAATCAATTGACAAGCGGTTCTATTTGCTGTCTGAACAGTAGCATTAACTTTCAGAAGAAATGCTGATGGATGAAGCTTATTCCAAAAATGCCTTTTGTATATCCAGTATTAGGAAAGTAAATTTAACGTGCCTCAGTTTGTGCATGTGTAAAATTTGTTTCTTTCCACTATAGTGTTTTGGGAATATAAATTCCCTGTACTGGTATTTCATGGAGGCTGTTAGAAAATAACCTCTTAGTAGATGAAGTAAGGGTTCACATGGGCATATCTTTGTGATCATGGAATGTTCCTTTGAAAATGGCTGCTGTTCCTAATAAGGCCACAATATTCATTTGTATGTTTTAGAACGTTTTGATGCGACTATAGAACATACTTCCCTAAAACACTTATCCTTTATTGGCTTACAGGACATTGCTTTTAAATAAACATTTTGTCATTATGGCCCAACAAAATACAGTTAACGTACCAAGTTAAAAATGAAGGTGAAGTTCAGTTACTTTAGATTTGGGACCATTTTTATTTTAAAATATTCTCAAAATGAAAAGAAAAAAAGTCTTGAGTTTTGCTTTCAGTTTTTTACATTACTGTTTTTGTCAGTTTTCAGACGTACTACTTGCCACCTGAGTTAACGTATAAGGAGTATAAAACCTTAGAATTACTAATTCTTTGACTATAAAAGGCAGGCATGTTGGTCTAACTGTAGGCAGAATTATTCTACAAAAATTTCAGTGTTTTAGGCAAATGTTTAATGCCATAAGAAAGTTGTCTTTCATTTTTATTCTCTCAAATAAATGTGGATTGCCCTCAACTATAAACACTTCTGTATATCAGTATTTATCTACCACCTACTGTGTGCGCAGCACTACTGGTAAAATTTTTAAGACATTCTTAACATTAAAGAAAATTTGAAGTTGCCTACAAATCTGAGCATTGTAATAGTGTATATTTGTTATTTTTGTTATCCGTTTACTAAAGACTAAAAGTGTACTAGCCAGCTATAGTAAAGAAGACTAGTTTTAATTGTATTTATGTGTAAACAATAAAAGGTCATCTACAGACTTCACATTTTACAATTATCTATGGCTGTTTTAAATCAGCAATTTGTAAGGTTATAGTTAACTCTTTAAGCAACAGTTCTTTCTAAGTATAAAGCCATTTTCAAATAGCAAGATTAGTGCTTGTCTTTTATTACAGAGTGCAATTCAGTAAGCTGCATGATAAAACATGTATTATGTAAATAAACTGAGTTTACTAAATATATTAAGTGCTGCTTGTCATTCTTTGTAGTACATAACAGCTTTAAAATCGTATTTTGGAATCAGGAGTGAAGAATCAGGGAATATCAGTCACATCTTATGCCATCTCTCCTGGACAGAAGTGATTGGAAGATTGTGATTGACTGGCAGAAAGGTATACCAATCTCCATTTGGCAGGTACCTACTAGAGTTGTACTTTGCCCTGTATTAAATGTCAAGAGGCAAAGCCCACACTACTGCCAGCTGTTGGCTGGCTGGGTCTCTACGCAGCCCATGTCATTCCTGGCAGTTCTGCCCCGTCAAAGAGTAGGAAGAGTTGGCTTAGCTGTTAGGTTAGGGGTAGAAGTACCTTCCATACCCATTATCACAGTCACTGTATTTATACTGAAAAGTGTTGTGGATGCTCTGGAGTAATGAAATCCATTTCCATTTTGTACCATACTACTATATGTTAATGGGGTAACAATCCAGAGCAGTATCATACAAGTTCATTTATGCCAGTCATCTGAACTTCTTAAAATATATAACTGCAAAGCTCATGCCTTCAAAATGAAAATACGATGTACTACATACAGAGCTTCAGTTGGGCTTCCTTAAAAAGGAATTCTTGAAAACAAACTCAATATATTTTCTCTGAAGTATTTACCTGAATATGAACAATGATGCACTGAAAAATTCTTCTTTTATATAACTTTTCCACTCATTTCACATTTTAATTGTATTACTCATTAAAAAGATACAAAGCCTATATTTTTCACATATCTTTAGATAATAAATGTTACTACCAAAAAGAAAATGGTAACAGATAACTTGGATCTTTTGGCTGAGAAACTGTCACAGGCAACCAATCGAGACTCCAGTTTGTGAACAAGACATTGTAAGATGGCAAGGCAGTTGGACACACTTAAATGTCAATCCAGTAGATGATGTGAGGCCAAAGCCTCTTTTCTGACACAAAGACTTACTGAACCAAAACTTTTTAGTTGTAGATGTTAACAATCTTTCAGTGATTCTAAAATTAAAGAACAAATAATATTAAAAACTATGCCAAATGAGGTATTTAAAAGGCACTTCAAGATCTTTTTGTCTTGCTATTATCACTGTATCAGTAACAGCTGTGAATAAAATAACTGTGCTACTAAGTATCCTGATTGTAAAAATTCAAATCAAAACGGGTTTTCTTAGTTAAATCCTCAACTATAAGCGCCTTAAAAACAGATCCAGTGTTTTCATATTTCACTAGCTGCCACATCTTTAACATGCATAGTATGAATGAAAGAATTGAAGTTTATATCCAAAATGTTAAAAGACAGATAATGAAAAACTCCAAAGTCACTGATTATAAAGAATAGGTAATCCATTGGGGATTTATTGCATTTAAAGAAAGCAGATTATTAAAACAAGTATGATAAATACATATGAAAATAACTTTAAATTTCAAACAAAACAGTGAATCAGGGACAGAATTCAAGAATAAGCAATGTAAAGACAACAAGGTAATAAAATTAGTGCTTCATTAGATTGGGGGAAAGCAACTTATTCTATCTCATAAGTTTCTCAGCTATGTTTTAACACTAAAGATACTTTAGCAAGTAAAATTTTACAATTAAAAATATAATAAAGATGTAAATCAGGTTTTTTTAAAGGTAAAATTATTTGCTTAGTGGTACATAAAAGGCTTCAGAAATTCAAGTTTTAACAAAAAAATGGAAGTATAATCAAAGAAAGTGCACTTTAAAAGCTGTTTGCCAGCAATTAAAAAGTAGCTTCTATATTGCTATTAGATGACTTTTCAATCACAAAAGAGAGAACAGTAAAAACAATACATTTCAAAAGTAGCACTAAAAATTTTAAAATAAAACAAAACTAACCCCAAAATGATGACCCTTTACATTTTCATCATTTTCTTCTTTTAGTGGCTTTTGTAAACCCTCACTATGAGTGAATGTTCTTTTAGTTATGATTGTAGTTGCAATTCCATCTTTAAAAAATTCACATTAACTCCACAGGAGAGTGATGTGATGTGTGTGTATGTGTGCGTGTGTAATTTTAATCTTAACGTACAAAACACCACTGAGTATAAAAGTTTTCAAATAAACTATCCTTTGTGTTATTCTCACAGTAGATATGTCATCTCATTCTCACAGTAGACTGTCAATAACTGGACCTAAAATGTTGAGTAGTTTTGCCAAAAAGAAAAATAATAACCTTACATTCTACATATATTAAAACAAATGTACCCAAACTACTCAGAACTAGTGATATTAATACACTTGTACCTTCTAACAGTGCTTATGTGAAGTACCAAAGCCTAAAAAGAAAACCTAGCAGAGTAGCTGAGTAGTGAGAAAACTGCTCTGCTTGATGAACACCAGCATGGAAGAGTGGGCTCTACCTTCATCTCATCTCCCAGCGTAAAAACAATCGATTGCCTGCCCACAAACAATATGCTATATCCAAAGCTACATCTGTCGGCAAGTCCAGATGATGTCCTAGCTATGCCTTCACACACACATAACCAGAGGGGAGGGAGGGTTGCAATTCTGAAATTCTAATCAGTTACATTTTCATCCAACCTGCAACCTTTCCTCCTTCACCTATTTTTGTGTCCAATTTTTATGTCTCAGTACATAACGTCATCAATGCATAAAGCTGGTGATTTTTAATACTAACATTTTGTTGAGGTGATATTAGGATAGTTAAGCAAATGGTCCTCTTTTTAAAAGATGATTCAAAATCAAGCACTGTTAAAGCTGTTAGGAAACAACTTTGGCATCAGATTTTTGCTAGCTCTTGTTACTTCCCTTAGTGATGTTCAAGTATAGCAGGTGTAGAGTTAGGACTACATGCATCCGTAGGGTATAGGGAATACCCAAACAGGAAAAAAGCAATTCCACAATAGAGCTAAACTTTTGCAGAGTGCAGTGCACCAAGAACTATGTTAAATGCTTTCACGTGTGAAGGGAGCTTAACTGTCAAGGAAATTACCTAGGTCATCAGCTGGGACACTTTAACCATGGTGAGGGAAGTGATAAGTAAAAATGCTCTTTAAGGAAGTGCCTCAAAACAAAGGAATTTTCCCTCTATCTCATGAATATTCCTAGATCTTCCTCTAAGCAACAATCTTAGAAGAGGAAAATCAACAGGATATGTTATAAAAAATAAGGTAAATATTTTAAACTATGGCAGTTACTTCCTTTAGAATTTACCCAATACTCCAAACCAAAAGGTCTAAACTCACAACTGACATCTGGATTATTTAAAATTATTCAGTGTATTAAAAGCAAGTAAAAAGTATTTTCAGATTAGCTCATATGTTGCCCTCCTAAATGAACTCATGAGGTCTAGCAGAGACCAAGGATTGTAATAGTCAAGTATATAGTGTACACATTAACCAACAGGTTTCTATTGTAAAAAACTGTTTGATACAAACCTACTATAGTTCATGAATTCACTCTTTTGAAAGAATCACTTGACTCTGTTTTTAAAGAACATCTATGTGAACATTTGCATTAGCACTATTAACCTGAGAATCAAGGAGGGAAAAAAAAGGTGCAAACATATCTGCCTTTGGCACAAGAACAATTGGTGCAGTTCAGCTCTAAGAGCACAAGTGTGAGTGGCAATGTGCCGCTTGCTCAGCCTCTGCTGCACGCTGAGTCACAGATGTCTTCCCCACTCACAAATTTCCAAGTTACCTAACAGGGAAAATGAAGCAACCAAGAGTGAACATGTGATTTAGTTACACAGATGTGCTTCCTCCCAAGTTCAGAACTGAAAACAGACAGCTTATCCTACTGAGATATAATTAAGAGATTCTAGTAAGATTAAAGAATACACTTTAACTGGGTGCAAAGAATTTAAAATATAGCAATCAAGAAGAGAGTTTAAGTTGAAAGTTTCCACGCTTTTCTGTAAATAGCCTTAACAGTTCTAGAAACTTTCCAATGTTAAGCTGATAGTGAAAGACAATTATAACAACACACACTCTGGAAGCATAGCTACTGTGTTCACATTAACTCATATATGTAATTACTATCCTTAAATTTCTATAAAAATCTCAAGTTTCTAATTAGGATTTGTGGTGTTTGTTTTGTTTTTGTTAAAAACAAAAAGGCCATGTAGTAGCTGGGCTCTCTCAGTAAAGACAGTTGGCTAGCAGAATCAAGATGGTAGCCTTGCCCTTCGCATTACTCCATTTTCAGGTCTGGTGCCAGGGCAGAGGTATTACAGCAGGAAGCAGTCCTGCCTGTAAGGCTTCATAGGTGTCTGCTCTGTGTACTTTATTAAAAATACTTCCCCTCCAAACCTAAGAAAGCTAACTGCTGCTCATGACTTGGGGAACATTTGAAGGTGGTAATTTAATAAAGCACATTATTAAAAACAATGTGATTTGACATTGTAAACATCTTAAATAGTAAGTTTCAACTGCATTTTTCTCTTGAAAATATCCAGATACCCTTTTTCCTCACTCTTGGGTTTTTTTTCCCCCCAATAATCTGCTTATTAGGGACATCATAACAAAAGACTCTGGCAAGAAGCCACTTAAAAACAATATAAAATGTTTGTATGAGTCTTGAATGTTTTGCATTCTTATATATCATTTTTTTAAATGCCAGATATTTCTCTTTATGTTTGTGTTCTAGGCTTCTATTAGATATTCCATTTTTTAAATTAATTGACAAAAACTATATATCATGTACAACATATTTTAAAATATGTATACATCATAGAAGGGCAAAATTAAGCTAATTAACATACACATTGTTTCATATAATTATTAGATATTCCGTATTAATGGCACTTGTTTTTAAAATGCAACATTTTAGGCACAATAGTTACTTCTGGCTCTGCTTTGTAAAGAAAGGTGTATGAGTTGACATCTATACTGTCCAAACAGTATCTTCTTAGTTCTTTACGAGTTATTTTTCATTGTATGAAATATTCACAAATGTAACCTATGTACAAATGAGCCTAGATTTAAATGCTGGATCTGGAGTGAACCTGAATAAGCACATAAGTGATACAGGAATAACGATACGGCTTTCCTGTCCCTTTTCGGTGACTGCACACCTGAAAAGGTGCCATGAGCTTTCACTGCAAGGTGCCCCCTTGCATTTATTTCTGTCCTAGTGTCAGCACCAGAAACCCATTCTCAGAGCTATCAATTCACAATTGAGCTCCTTTTTCTCCTGCTTAGAAGCATCTGGTTACTACCCTGTAGGGAGACTTCTTTTTTCTATTTAGCTTATTTAAAAATCACCTAACTGGATTAACTTTTAAGAATGAGTGATATAAAGAGCTACACAAATAAATTTTAAGATTCATAAAACTATTTACACTCTTTTGAAACAGGAGTTAATGCCAAGAATCCATCAGAAGTATCTACTGTTTAGAAGGAAATGGAGCAGCACCAAATGGGTCTAATTCAACCGGTTGGGACTGTTGTGGCGTGATGCTTTGCACCACAAGTTCTGTAAAGGGCACGGCACCAAAGTCATCTATTTTCAACGCATCTGCACTATGGAATGACCCATGCAGTGAGTTCTGTCTTGGCCTCCCAGGCAGGACAGTACTGTGTTCAGCACAGATGTCACTCAGGCTTTGATGTGACTGGTGCCATGCCAGGTCTGTAGGATGGAAGGGCTTGGCACCGAAAGGGTCCAACAGACTCTCCTCAGATTGTAGGACATTCCCTCTGTCTTTTCCATCAGTCAGTGCCACACTAATATTCTCCTTGGAGTCTGAGATGCTTAAGAATTCATTGCTGCTTTGCGAGTCTCGGCGGCCGACTTTTTTGTGCCTGCGAGCCCTCTCTGGAGTGCGGTAGGTAGGCTTCAAAGTCTTCTTTGTGCTGGTTGGTGTGCCGTGATGCCGCTTCCCATTACTCTTGGACATATCCTGTTTTGTGCGCCTTTGGCGAGAGGACAGTTTCTGTAAGCTGCGCTGCTTGACTTTTTGCTGCTGACTCCCAGTTATTTCCTCAAAGGGCACAAGCCCAAAAAGGTCCTCTTTGCTTTCACTTTTACTTGTGGATGTGGAAACGGGCTGAAAGGGAGTGAAGCCAAATATATCTACACTTTTGGGACAACCAGGTAGAGAATGTGCCTCGGGTCCCGCTACAGAGCAATCCTGCACATTCACCTTCTTGCTAAAGGGGGCCTTTGTGAATACATCAAACTCCTCTTGATCTAGTCCCACAGAAGCAAATGTCTGTTTGGAGAGGTTCTTTTCATTCTGTCCTTGCTGAGAGTGTTGAGTGTGAACTGCAAAGAACGGGACAGCACCAAATACATCAAACTCTTGTTTGGGACTGTCTATCCCAGCATTAGCAGGTAAATGAACCGGAGTGAAGAATGCTGTATTAGGGTCTTGGGCTGGTCCACTGTCAAGTTTGTCTCTGTAGATAGGGTTCATGTCACTGTACTTTGTTTTAGCCTGCTCATATTCAGAATCAGAGCTATGTTTTTCTTCTTCCTCATCTTCAGAATCCATGAGGAGAGGCCTATGACCCAGATTTTCTGGTTCAGTATCATCATCATTAAAATCTCCTTGTTCACCCTGAATTTCTTCATCCTCTTGCTCTTCCTCTTCACTGCTCTTAGGAGAAGGGGGATCTGATTCAAAATCACTTTCAGAGTCGTCATTCCCCTTTTGCACTTGACCCTGTACTGATGAATTCTCTAAAATTTTCTTTCCAATCTGCTGATCGTTAGATACTGGACTTGCTTTACCATTCCTGATAGGAGATGCAGTGTTAACTTCTTGATTCATGGATGAATGTTCAACTTTGTTTTCAGGAGAACCTGCAGGTTCAAAGAAAAATTATTAAAGCATTCTGATGCATTTCAAACTCCATTTGCATCCAACATGGCATTACAAAAGAAAAAATAATGTTGTCAGTTCTTGTCACTGTACTCCTAAGAAATTATCAGGCCTTTAATGCAGATAGGCATAACTGCCTCTGGACTCTATACCCAGCTGCTTATCACAGACTCCCTCAGCTATGTTTTATTTATAGCACCTGGAAAGAACCTTGAGTATAAAAGTGAATTTTCTTCTCCCTATCATCAGAACACGGATCCTACATTCCCCAAACATCTTTCTGCTTATGTTTCAGATCTACTGTTTTTTCCAAAAAGATAGATTTCTATGAAGCTTGTTTGCTTAGTTACATGTTTCACTAATTCTGTTAAAACAGTATTTTTCTTTTTAGAAGTTAGTACCTTTTGTGCCCATTAGCATGAGGGTATCCATATCCTTCATGTCCTATCAAAGCAAAAGACAGGCACTAGACAGAGACTGCACCAAGGACATGTATCTTCTCTGGCTGAGACAATGCCCTTTAACTGCAGCCCACCATCAGGGCATTGAGTGTATGACTAACATTATACCAACACAGTACTTTGCGATTGAACTATCTGGTATATAATAAAGAAATAGAACATAGTGATCTACATGAAAATGTACTGCCTTCCAATACATTGGTATACTGAATTGATTTTTACAGAGACCAGAGTCAGTTTGTATTCATTCACATAGCTATTCATCCCTTCAACTAAGGTAATTTATTTTATTCTATTATTTTTTTTTTTCAGTATCAGGGACTGAACTCAAGACCTTGTGCTTGCCAGGCAAGCGCTAATTTTACTGAGCTATCTCCCCATCCCTAAGATAAATATTTTTATTTTACGTAATGTAATGAATGTAATGTATTGTTTGGTGTAAGGTCTAACTATGCAGCTCCGACTTGTAGTGATCCTCCTGTATTCAGCCTCCCCAGCTTTAGAATTACAGGCATGCACCACCATGGTCTTGGTGGCCAGCTCAGAGCACTCAAGGGTGGGACCAGTGCGGCACGTGGTGCCAGGGATTGAACCCCAGTCGCTGCACTTGTTTAAGTAGATATTTAGTCCACTGAGCTATCTTGCTGGCTCTATAAGATAAGTATTTTCAAAATAATTAGCTGGGGCTAAGTATAGTCTGTAGTTACGAAAACTAATTAGGTTTTGATGGAGGGACCATTACTTTTCCTTTATGAACATGATGGTCTCTAGCATATAACTGCTTCAAGTCTTAAAAAGTCAGCTCCGTCCTCCTAAACTCTGATTAGAGAGTCTTTTCTTTCACATCTCTCGGGGACGGGGAGGAGAATACTGGAGACTAGAGGCCTTCACACTGCATTACACGCTTAGCCCTTTTCATCTTTTTTTTTTTTTTTTTCTTTTTTATACTGGCTCACTAAATTGTCCAGTCTGGCCTTGAAGTTGCAATCCTTCCACCTCAGCTTCCCAAAGTGCTGAGATAACAAGCACATACCACACCATGCCCAACAATACTATTTCCTTAAATTAAAATGTTCCCCAGAGCTCAGCCTTGACTGTCTTTCTCTGCCTCCTCTTCCCAGTCTCAACTACTCCTACATGGATTGCCAAGTGCACCAACAGCCTTGGCTAATATTTTTAACATGTATCTTATACCTTGAGTTCCAGACTCAGATCTCTTTTATACTAATAATACTTATTTTCTACTGTTATATCAAACTCAGTAATTTCAAAAGAGAATCATTCCTCTTTAGATGTGCTGTTAACCAGTTCCCTCTAAGTTAGTGGGAGTATCTCCATGTAGGACCTCAGATTGACAGACATCAGATCATCTCAGTGTAGTTTTAGTCTGTTGAATTTGTTCCCTCTCCTTCCCTACACGTATCTATTCATTCCCTTAGTACCTCACACCTTGTAGCTCAACTTCACACTTGCTTCTCTGCTTCTTGACCCACAGCCCTCACACTCCTTTAAGCTATCACCAGAATATTTTTTTCTGAAACATTCATTGTGCAGCTGGCTATGAGGTCCCAGTCCACAGCATACCACAGAAGTGTTCTCTGTTGTTCTGTCCTGTGACATCTTTTAACTTCAGACCCAATGTCTCCCAAGGGTATCCTTTATTACAGCCATACCCAGTGTCTCCCTGTTCAAATTAAGGAATCCAGTAACTGTCTGGTCCCTTAATATTTGCTACCAATAACTCAAGAATGATGTGGACTTGGGGATCAAGGGACACCTGCTATCTCAACACATCTCCCTAATGCAATATTGCAACTCACTAAGGAATGCCCTTCTACCTTTCCTTCTCTACCCATGTCTCCTGACTAGAGCCATATTTCAAGATACAGAACCCTTCAAAGCCACCTGTTTAAAAGGTACCAATCTTCTGCATGGTAGTCTTGAACCTAGTACGACCTTCACTCTAGTATCTACTACACAGTACTGGAACTATTTCCTTGTCTCTCATCATTACTCTTTATTAAATTCCCTTTTATCATTTATCTCTATGCCTGAGCATTATACTGAATCAATACCGAAACAAGTGATTTTGAGTTCACCACTATATGTAAAATATAATAAAGTTACAATAAATATAAAGGAATATAAAAAATAAACTACACCTGGAGATATTTTTGTCTTGCAAAGCACGGTCATATTTTATTTCATTCAAAAAACACTTTTCTACAAGCTACACATTCATGATAAATTAGTGAATAAAACAAAACAGTGTGACTAAATTCTGAGATAACGAGGGAGTGGGAGCATACGCCTCTAATAGGGAGTGAGTGAAGGCCTTCCAATATGTGCAAGCTAAGACTACAGAGTAAAATAGGGTCAGCCAGAGAAAGGCTGAGTGAGAAGCTGCTCCATATAAAAGCAGCAGAATGTGAGGGTCTGAAAATGGGCTGGGGTTTATACAGCACAGTGAGCAAGAGGGCTGCTACACAGGATGAGCAGGAAGAACTGAAATAGCCCAACCTGACAGTCCTTGTGAGGCCAGGAAAGGAGTCTGAATTAAAAAATTTAAAAAAAGTAGCTTTAAAATGGGTATAATCAGAAGAGATTACTGATTGCTATGTAGAAAAGATTACAAAAGTAGAAGTGTGGATGTGGAGAGGGCAGCAGGGAAATAAAATGTTTGTGGTTACACAAATAGATTTGGAAGTTATCACCATCAGAAGGTATGGAAAAAGCCACAAAACTAAAAGGAGTTCATCTGGAGACTATCAAAGCAAAGACACAAAACTGAGCCCTGGCATGTAAAACTTACATGCAAACCTCAAGTCTACCCACTCACAGAATCAGCAGAGGAAGAACCTGCAAAGAAGACTAAAAAGTACCAGCCAAAACCAGAAGAGTGCATTGTTACGAAAGTTGAGAGAAGAAACTATTTCTAAGGAAAACAATGGACTACTGGGCCAGATGGTGTTGGGAGATCTCCTAAACTAAGGGCAGAAAAGGCCCGTCGGATCTGGTCATCTTTTACAGTTTGCTGGTAACTCTGACTCATGGTAGTGCTATGTACGGAGTAGGTGGAGGGAGAAGACTCTGGAGAATTCTATCAGTATTCTTAAATACAAATATAAGCTTTTGGCCTACTCCTTGTAACCAGGTAAAAGCTACATGGTGTGTTTGGTACCTTAACAGATTAGAACCAAATAAAATGTAGATTCTCAAGTGTGACTTGCCTCATAGAGCATACCTGTATTAAAACAAAGATTACTTTTTGATTGATAGAACTTTTTTGTAAAATCATCCTTCAGTCTGGAATATCTCCTTTATGATACATTCCAGCTTATCACCTCAAGCCTACCTGCTCGCAGAAAGCTGCCTTTGCACTTTTCATGCCTGCATGGACACCTGCAGTAACATCCCTGTTTCCTGAAGTGCAATTTGACAACAGGATTCCTGTAAAAAAAAAGAGCTAAACCTCTTCTGTGGTCTTAGGCAACCAAGTCTTTGAAAGGATGCACTCTATATACTGCCTTCACCCCTACTTTCCTAGAATATGCTCACTAAAAGAGCTAAACAGTCTTACACAAAAGAATCTGATTTTATGAACCCTAGAACTATCCAAATTTGCTTCTGTATGCTTTTACTTACAGGTAACACTCATTAACCTTTACAATTATGTAACAAGCCCTCTTGGGCAGTGTCTTTCACTTCACCTCCTTTTCGTTATTCTTACATTTCAATTTCAGCCCTACTAAACATATTCTGTTTCCATTAATCAACTGACCATCACTGCTTTCCAGAAGACATCTGTAGCTTTCTACTTTTCATTCCAACTCCTCTGTCAGAACGGGGAGTTGCTTTACTGCAGATAAACATTTCTCTGTTATAAACTGTCACACAGAACTTGTAATTGCCAGTGTGGATATAAATTTGTAGGGCTTTTTACTTACCATTTATAATCCATCTTTGAACATCCAAACTGTCCAGAATTCTGATAGAAGCATGATAAAATACTGTATACATAGCTTTTAAATATTACTAGAACCTCTAGTTTTTTTCTAGTTTTCTGGATTTAAAATAGAACCATGACTCATGCACCTTTTATTTCAGGATAAAGGGGAAAAAAAACCTCCCTTTTAGGTATGACTTTTGTATGATCCACTTATTGTTATTCCCATATTATAGATAATGGAAGACAGGAAAACAAAACCTAATAAAAATCTTGCCAAGAATAGTTACTCTCCTCTTTCCTCATACACAGATATGGCCTAATAATAGATTTTACTTCATATTATTATTGTAAGGAAAGGACTTAAAATTGTGCCAGACACAGTAATAAACCTTCCCCCATCATTTCCAGCAAAGGGGCATATACAATTGTTTGACCTACTACACAATCTAGTATCTTTTCCAGGCTCAATGGCTGGAGGAAAGGCAGTGAAGGGAGCAATTCTATGGCTAATGATGAATTTAGGTCCACTTTAGACAGAAGACTAACAAATGTATATCCACCCACCATACAA